TTTTGATATGGTGTTTAAGGCTAAGAAAATATTTGTGATTCAAATACAGATTATCTCTCAAAATAAATCTAACAACATGTTTACTTTTTTGACAATTCTTGGGATAACTTCCTTTGTATTTGTTTTTATTGCTTTCAGCTCACATATGGCTCCTTTGTCCCAGCAGCAAATGAAGTGATGGAGCGCCCATCTTTTTATCACATGGTCCCAAATGAGGCTCATCAATATATGGGAATTATCCGCTTGCTTAAACTTTTCGGATGGACATGGGTTGGGTTCTTTGTGGAAGATGATGAGCAGGGTGAATGTTTCCTGCAGGTCCTGGAGCCACTGCTTTCCCAATATGGGATTTGCACAGACTTCACTAGAAGAATTCCTGGCCAAGAACAGTTTTCTTCTGCAAGTGAAACAAATCCTGTAGCCCATTCTATGTATCAACTGATTAATTTTAGGAAATCTAGAGTATTTGTCATCTATGGTGAAACATACACCATTCAGTATATTATGTATTTTATAAATGGCAAAGGAGCTCCTGAACGTAAGGCAAATGCATTGGCTGGAAAGGTGTGGATTATAACAGCCCAGATAGATTTTGTGCTGGCAAGCATTAGTTGGGACTCAGATCTACAGTTTTTCCAAGGAGCCATTTACTTCTCCATTCATTCCAATGAAGTCCCTGGATTCCAGAAATTTGTTCAGATGCTAAAACCAGATTGGACGCAAACGGGTGGTTTCCTCTGGGAATTCTGGGAGCAAGCATTGGACTGTTCAGTTCCCCATCCCATGGGAGGATGCATGGGTGAGGAGGAGCTGGGAAGACTCCTTGGGCATTCTTTTGAAATGTACATGACTGGCCACAGTTACAGTATTTACAATGCTGTCTATGCTGTGGCACACGCTTTACAAGCATTGTGCTCATCTAAGTTCAACCAAAGATCAATAGTTGAGGGCAAAAAAGGTGACCTAAAAACTCTGCAGTCTTGGCAGGTAATTCTCCAGAAATAATCACTGTGCTTCTTCAAATCACTTGACATTCATAGGTATTTTCTCCCCCCCTGCAAATTTGATGAATGGTGCCTTACATATTGTTAAATCAATAGAGGAACTCAGGTATTTTTTATTTATTTATTTATTTATTTATTTAGAACACTTTTAGACCATCCCTCACTGAAGTCTCAGGACAGTTTAACAGTAAGACAAAAAATAAAATAAAACACAAAATAAAACAAGGCATCCTAATCAAATTCTGACAATAAAACCAAGATTAACAGTCAAATCTTAAAATATTGGGAAAATAAAAAGATTTTAGCCTGGCACCCAAAAAATAAAAATAAAGCTATGGCACCAGGAGAACCTCATATTTTTCAGTTGGGGTGCCACCACAGAGAAGG